CTGCCAGTAGTGGAGGGCTGACCAGAGCCAGTGTCACCTGTAAGGCCACCTCGACAGGAAGACAAGCCGACGACCGAGGGACAAACTCTAGAGGGGCACTCAAAGCACACCCACCCTCAGAGCCAGCGAGAACAGCCAAACTGGAAGACGAGCAGGAGGCACAAACAGGCACTTTTCCCAGGAAGGAGCGGGAGCAGCCCGCTGCACTTCTCAGCCTGATTGGGACATGGCTCCAACAGTGGGGACGGGCGCCCTCCTGCGGAGGGGAGGGAGGGGGGAGGCAGACCTGGCCTCCTGGGCAGGAGGACCCACCGGCAAACAGGCCTCTGGACACTCGCAATGACCCGGCCCTCCTACCTCTTGTCATCCACCTGAGAAATGCAACCAGCATGCCAGGTGAGGTCGCACATACCTGCCTGTCCTCAGGCAGGACCCTGCAGGTGCGAACCAAGGGGCAGAGCCGCAGGCAGGGACACGGCCGGGGAAGCCTGCCACCCTCCCCACACCCAGATGTGCTGCTCTGAAGGGCAGACAAGAGATCCAGGGAGGGGTATCCTGAGGGCATGAAGAAGCCAGGCAGGGCTCTACTCGCCTGCCCTCTGGGGCACTTGACCTCTGGCCCGCAGCTCCTTCCTGCTTCTTTCCAAGTGTCTGTGGTGGTGGTGATGGGGCAGGGGGGGCCCTGAGCCAGGATCCTGGGACAGGAACCACCGAGAGGACCACGGTCCTGAAAGGCTGGGCTCGGAGGGTCGAGGGAGAAGCATGCCACACTTCCTCCACTGAACTGCTTTTGCAACGCAGTCAGAAATTCCGTGGCCCAAGTTCTGAGGGGCGATCCTGGGCTCTGCTCTGTCCCATGGACCCACATCTCCCTTCAGACACCATACCATCCAATCAACGGAACTGCACTGCAAGTCTCAAAATCGGGCAGAGTGACTCTTCACATCTTATTATTTTAAAAAATTATTTTAGCTCTTCTAGGTCCTTTGTTTTTCCATGTAAGTTTTAGAACAACTTTTTAAAATAAGCTTGTGCATGTCTACAAAAAACTGTTACGGTTTTGACGGGATGGTGTAAAACCTACATTGCCTAACGGGAAGCCCATGTGAACCATAAGACGTGTGTCTGGAGCAGCACCAGCTTGGAGCCCGGAGCAAGGACAGGCTCAGTGGGCAACCAACACAGAGCCAGACAGACGTGGAGGTGGGAGGGCAGCCACGAGACTGGGAAGGAAAGGCCAGGACATCCAGAAGTCAGAGGAGCAAATGAAGGGGAGGCCAGAGTCCACACAGGTCCAGACACTGAGGCCTGAGGGCCCTCTATCAAACATGGTAACTTTGAGGGTCCCTAGGAGACCCTGATGAAGGCAGTCAGCAGAGGGTGGAGCTGCAGGGAACAAAATGTGGCCGAGCTGAGGAGGGGACAGGCAGCAAGAGAGGGCAGAACAACAGGTGCTGAGGAGAAAAGGGGAAGAGGGGCAGTAGAGGGGAGGGGGGAGGGGCAGAGGGAGGGGAGGGGCAGAGGGGGAGGGGAGGGGCCGTGGAGGGGAGGGGGTAGTGGGAAAACCTATCTCTGAAGGGACTCTTTACAAGGTCTGGAATTTTCACAGCCTGAGGACCAGGAACAGCAGAGAAACACGCAGCAACAAGAACAAGATGTTGGGTCTGGAAAGGCAGGGACTTTTACTGAGAATGAGAGGGGCTGGGGGGGGGGGTCAAGGGTCTCCTGCAGTCCCAGCCCCTACACACCTCCTCCCCCGCCATCTCCATCCACCCCTGTGCAGGCGTCAGCCTCATACACCAGCAACAGTTCAGGCTGGTCTTGGGGGGTGGGGGTGGGGAGCCTGGTTACACCATAAATGTTCCCTATTGTTGACAAAATACTAAAACCACAGAGAACAAAAAAACTTAAAAACCTAGCACAATCCTGCTTGGGAGAGAGACCCCTGCTCCTCCCTGAGGTCTATTCAAGTTGGGCAAACACTCAGCACGTGTTCACTAGGCACTTCACCACGATGTGCACAAGCTGTCCGCAGCCTGGCTTCAGCCCTGCTGCTGGGAACCCCACACAAGGCCATCACCAAACTCATCACCCTGCTGTCGGGCATTTGGGGGTCCCCAATATAACACTCTAGTAACATACCCAGCCTACAGATACGCTCCTGCACGCGGGTTTCCCTAGGACAGATCATCCCAGAACAGGGATTCCTGGGCCAGAAGACCAGTCCCGTAAGGCTGGTGACACGTCTGCCAAACTGCCCACGGTGCTCCTGAGGGTCCAGAGCGCCCACACTCCCTCCTCAGCAGCATATCCAGTGACATCGTACGCAACCCCCTACACGTGCATAGACAAGAGTGTGCCCCTCTGGCCACTTGAAGTCAGGGGCCAGGGGCCAGACAACCGCCCACCTGGCCACAGCTCTGCCCTGGGCTCAACCTGGCCCAACCCTGGGCTGGCACTAGGCTCCCCTCAAGCCCCCGGAGACTCACTGACTGCCAGCTCCAAGGTCTACTGTGCAGACACCAGAGGACACTGGGGGCATCACCTGACCCAGCAGGTCCTGCAGCCCCCATGTCCCAGCGCCCTATCCACACTGGGGCCCGCGGCTGACTCAGACAGCTCAGAAGAGTGAGCACTCAGAAAATGACCTTTTGTTCCTTTGACAACATACATCCTGGCCTGAAAAACAGCAGGATACCAGCCACATTTTACTTTTATCCAGTCCATTCTCAGAGCTCTGATCCCACTGACACTGGACATACTTACAAAAATCCCTGAAGACCAAGACATGTTGCAAAACCATCCTCTGAGCAAACACTTCTAGGACTTGGGGAAAACTACAACGAGCTCCAAGTCAGTCGTCTCACTGACATGCACACAGACAGAGTGGTGTTCACAACTGACACACATGCACAGAGAGTGGCGTTCACAAGCAGAAGGTGCGTGGTCTGCTGGGGGCACAGAAGCTGCCTCTCGTTCCATAACTCAGGGCAAAGACTTACCTTCATAGGGGGTCATCTCAGGGCCTCGGACCACATAGTGCCTGAGGAAGGAAAGAAAATCAGTTGGCTTCAGTGATGGAAGACTCCAAAATCTGAGTCACCCCAAGGCCAGGGTTTCTAGGGCCAACCCGATGCTCAGCAGTGAAGTGAAGCTCAAACCCAGCCCGGCTACGCAGCTCCAAAGCTCTCCAGTCCCTCGTGCTGCCGTAACGGATCAGAGACCGTGTCCTCCAAATCTTCACAAAATACTCTGCAGCCACAACAAAGTAAGCAAAAAGCTAATCCCCTCTAACCAAAAATCAAACAAGTTTTAACTGCACAATTTATTCTTGAGATGTACTTGAAAACCAGTATCTTTCAGTGTGCCCCAGTATCACGCTGTAGCTAAACCGGGACAGCCATAGCCGTGAGGAGGCTGTGCCCCCAGCACCAATGTCCTGGAAGAACCAGACAGCCTCAGAGGGGCTGTCCTCTGGCAGCAGGGACCGGGACAGCCCGTGACTGTCACCAGTCCTCACACGGAGGAAGCCTCAACCAGGAGCAGCCACCCTGGACTCCCATCTTCCACACAAATAGAGGAGGCTTCAGCTCTACGTCGAGAAAGGTTTGAGCTTGTAAATTTTCAAAGAAAACAGAAGTGCACAAAGAAGAAAGAACTAACCAAAAATACCAGATAAGACAAAACTGCACACATGCTGGTCCCTCCAAACACTGCTTCCCACCAGGATATTCTGACATCGGGGATCATACCAGCCCTGCTACCGGCTGGCTGATATATTTCACTCAAGAAATACTGTCATCCCACGTCAGCGGGTAATGAACACACATGGGAACGGTCCTTAATTGGTTACTGCTCCCGATTCCTGTGCCAAGTGTGAGGACACTGGGAAGGACTGGTGAGCAGTGCCCCGAGAGCGTCCAGCAGCCCGGCGATACAGTGAGAAACACTGGGAGGCCAGGCCTCTTCCCAAAAAGCACTCTCTTCTCCCAGCTGAGAGGACAGACCACCATAGCCGAGCAGAAGGGCCTGCACACAGGGCCCTTCACTCTGTCCTCAACTGGCAGCTGGGAACTGGAATCCAGGGGAGTCACACCATCTCGATGGCACCTAATCTGTTGGCGCAAACAATGTGGTTAATGCTGACAGGAAGCCTGCTTTCCTGCTGGGAGTCTGGAATATCAGGAGACACCAGGCAGGGGTGCCCCGTGCCCCGGCCTCAACCGAAAACGCTGCTGCCAGGTCGGAGGGGCTTCCTGGTAGACAGCACCACACACGTGTTGTCACAGGTGACGGGACGCACAAGCTCCAGTGGACCCCACCCTGCACCTCTTTCCCTCACTGGCTCTGCTCTGTCTTCTCACTGCAATAAACCTTTGCGGCAGGTCCTCCCAGCACATGATACAACCTGGAACCCAACTCAGCTGCAGGAGGGGTTCCCCACACAATAAGGATGTATCAACTACCACAGAACTGTCCTCCATCGGACAATGATGTCCTGGGAACCACACCTGGTTTCTGTCATCTGGGGGCAGGGAGAGCTCTGCCAGCCTCCCCTGAGAACCCTCCATCCCACTCAGAGCTGGCCTTTCTCTGTAAGCTGAGGAGGGTAGACCCAGAACCCTTGAACACCTCTCCAACCTGGAGAACACTTCCTTTTAACTCAGTTAAACCTCTTTTCTCTGGATTAAAAAAAATTAAAAGTTCTTGTTAAGATTAAGACATAAAACCCTTCAGGGGAGGGTACAGCTTAAAAGCGTGTGCTTAGCACGCACAGGTCCAAGGTTCAATTCCTCAGCATCTTTGTGTAAAGAAAGAAACCTAATTACCTCCCCCTAAAACAAAAAACAAACAAAATATAAAAAAAAGTAAGTAATGAATCGTTAAAAATAAATAAAATAGAATACCTTCCAAACAAAGAGAAAATGCTCCTAAACACTCCTGGCAGCACGGCAGTGTCGCAGGAAGGAGCTGCTATAAGCACAAGCCCATGAGGCCTGCAGTGCTGCCATCAGGACCCTGGAGGCTCTGTCACCAACTCTCCAGGGAGGACAGGACACGCACGGCACCAAGGAGCAAAGGGCAGAGGAGAAGCATCCACACACGGAGCTTTTCTTCCAAAAGCCGGGAGATCTGCAGGCCCAAAGCCTCCCCTACAGACCCTACAGGCCCAGTGCTCCCGCAGGAAGGACCCTCCCTCCAGCCCCAGCGTGCAGGGGTCAAGGAGAGCCCCGCCACATCCCCGGCTGCTATGCATTATGATGATGACCAGAGTGTCTGCAGGCCTCAGAGTCCACTCATACCTGAAAAGGGTGAGGGGCCCCTTTCCCGCGCTGTGATGGGCCCACCCAGCCCGACCCCAGAGAACCCAGCTGATGGGGGTGCAGCTGAGGGCGGACACAGCGCCTTACCACTCAAGAATGTTGGAAGGGAGGGGCTCAGCACAGATGTAAGGCACAGGGTCTTTCTTAATTCGAAGATAGTCCTGCTTGAGTCGCTGGGTTGCTGTTGTTGGAGCTCTCTTACTGCTGTTGTTGCTCATCTGTGGAAAGCAAACACCGCCGTTTACAAAGAACAGAGGCCCTGATCGCCTTCGCCACCCACAGCCTCAGCCGCCCTGGGTCCGCCATAAGGTCTGCACCCAGCACTCCTGCTGGCTTCACCCTAGCCACCCAGAGTCCAGGCCCGTGGGCCATCTTGACTTGCCCACCCCCTCAGACACCGGCAGGCCTGGCAGGTTCTCCTTTTCCTGCTACTACCTTCGCCTACGTGACGCCATCAGACGCAAAGGGTAAGAAAACCCTGCAGCCTCACTCCTGCCCACAAAGAACTAGACGGAAAGAAAGACGTCCATTTCCAAGGGTCATAGGGGGATGCACCCAAGCAACCCTGGACGTCCCTCCAGCTCAGGGCTGGGCAGCGCCACGCCCAGGGAGGGGCACCCACGGAAACATGCCCCCACCTCCGTGCCTCCAGCTCAGGGCTGGGCAGTGCCACGCCACAGAAACGAGCCCCTACCCCGTGAGAGCCTGCTTACCACTGGTCACAAGAGGGTGGGAGGAATGGGGAGTGGAGGAAGAGCCTCTGACACTGGAGAAAGAGATGGAGACCCCTGAAAGACTCGCACATGCTGGGCAGAGGGGCAGGAGTGCCTTCCAGGGAGAAAGAACGACAGGTGGGCAGACGCTAGCACAGCAAGGTGTGTCTGGTGGACAGCACTGGGTCACTGCATCAGGAGCCAAAGCAGGGACTGGCAGCTGACAGGCTGGCCAGGAAGGCAAGGCCAGGCCGTCAAGCAGCACTTCAGAAAGATTTTAGGCTCAAGTCTTAAGGCAGATTAGATCTTCTGTTAGAAAGGTCACTCTGGTGGTTCAGCACAGGACGGATGGGACAGACAGGACAGCGTAGGAGGGACAGGAAAGGCAGGACAGTACCAAAGGCGGGGGACCGGGAGTGATGGAGCGGCCATTGTTCAAGAGAAGAGACGTGGCCTGGAGCAGGGAACCCTGGGACACCTCAGCTATGCTCCAGAGGTAGGAAGCGGGGCGGGGATGTGGAAGACAGGACTCCCCACTCTCACAGGCCCCAAAGCAGCTCCAACTAGACCTGCTTAGCGTTAGTACTTCTTAGCACTTGACGTTAGTAGTACTCTCGTGTGAGAAGCACAACTTCGCACAATGTAAGATGGAAAAGCAAAAAAGTTCTACGAAAAATTACGTGTGAAAGCCACTGGTCCAAGCCATGGTGGAGACAGATGACGCAGAGTGTGTAGCACAGAGATGGAAAAGGGCAGAAAGCGCATCCAGGGTGGAGGGGACACAGACCGGATCTGACAGGAAGGGAAGAGCCATACCTAGCCCGCTCACCTCTGAGCACCCACACTCTGCCCGAGTGTTCCCAACCCACCTTGCTGCAGCGCCTGGCATCGGTGGCCAGGATCTCCACTCAGACCTCCCTCACCATGCCCGCCTCCTCACTCAGCCTGGGGCCTCTCACTCCCAGCTCCCAGGGACCACCACACGCTCACTCCTTCCCTCTCGTCAGTCTTTGCCCACATGACCCCACCAGAGGTCATGGCCCTGGCCTGGCTGAATTCTCCTCAGAGCACTCTCCCACCAGACTATGACGAGGGCTCAGTCCCTCACTGCACCCCTGGGGGGTCCTCCAGCACACATTATGGCCCAGACCTGATTCCTGCTCTGCTAAACCTCGGCTTCTCGCTCCCCCTCCTTCCCATCCCACCACACACACCCTGAAGCATGGTCCGTCCGTCTTCCCACAAGCTACCACAACAGACTTCCTGCTGGCCTCCAGGCTCTGGCCTCTCCCCATTCCGGCCACCTTGTACACTGAAGTCAGATTAACTTTCTCATCACACAGTTCTGACTGCAACCCTTCAGAACTCACCCAGAGCCAAGCACATAAATGTCAATGCCTCTCTCTGGCTGCAAAGTCCTCTAAAGAGCAGTCCCAGACAGCCCTCTAGTTCCTGACTCCTAAGGCCCCTGACACGGCCTGAGCCGAATGGCCTTCTCACCCTCACCGTACAGCTACCTTCCAGCCCAGACTCCACTGGCAAAAAAACTCACCTAGGCCCTCCCAAGCCTAGCTTGAAAGCTAGTCTCTTAAAAGCCTCCCTGATTCCCCCAGACTAAGGCGTCCCTGCAACCCAGCTCCACCCCACACAGGTGCCTGTCGAGCCCAGAAGACCCCACTGGTGTGCCTGTAGCAGGAGCAGGCTACACACCAGCCTGGAAGGGAGTGCTTCCTGCACAGCACTGCGCCCAAGCTCCGGCCCAAGAAGCTGAATAGGCCAGGTGTCACCTACTCACAAACGCAGCAACAATCCAAGAAGGACCACCACCCAGGACTTGTTCTGTTTCTCTCAGCTGTTTACCCTAAAGTTAACACTCATCCATGTACAAAACAATTGCCTGGATAACTCAAAGACAACTGTGTATGGATTCAGTTAATTGGTCGGACTGGACGCTTCACGGTTAGTGGACAGTCATACAAACTACATAAAACAGTTTCTGCCTGGCTGGTCACAAATGAACTCTTCTCTTGCTTTCAAAGGCATAATCTTGAGACTTCTACTCAAGATTCAATTCCTCAGTTCACTAAAAGGAAAGGGCTTCCTAATGACCCCTCTCTTGCCTCACTCAAAGCAGTGCCCTCAGGCTTGTCCAGGTGACTTCAGGTGAGACAGTTTCTCCCAGTTTTCCCCACATATATCGTCCACAGCATGCACACAGGTCATGAAGTGTGTCTCAGGCACCCCTGAAACCAAGTCTCCACAGACAGAGCACACAGAGTGTATTGCATTGAAGAAAATAGGGTACAGACTTTAAAAAAGAAAACAAAACAATAAACATAGTAAGCATGCAAAATTTCAGTACAGAAAAGCAAAAGGAAAGCAGTCTGCAACCCACAGACAGCGACATCGCAGTGCGTTCAGTGCACGCTGGGGCAGTCTCTGTTCTGCCAGCACCCTATTCCCTTTCCTCTAGATGTCCTCCCGCTCAGCGTCCGCGCACTCCAGTGATGCTGGGGCAGAGACCTTGGCCTGGCCCGCCAGACGGGCACGTGACACACCAGTGGCCAGAACATTCACGGAAGTCTCTTCCGTCACCACCAGGACTGCTCACAGGCTGGACGGAAGCCCAGGCTGACGGAGACAGCCCCACCACCACTCACACACCTGCCTGAGAATGGAGCCGCCCAGAGGTAGGCACAGCCGAGATATGCAGGTTACTGGCTACAAGTTCTAGGCACCAGGACCCAACCTTGCCTGAAGACATGCTGGACTTTTCAATTAAGTGAGACCCTGAAATTCCTTTCTGTTTAAGGTAAATTACACGAAAGGTCACTCACGTGGAAAGTACAGAGCCCTGAACCACCTTCGTGGTGTATTCTGTGTACTTATTAGCTCCATTCCCACTGAGCTGTTGCCTTACCTCTCTGTAGCAGTTTCATGCCTGGACAGGGCAAGTGGCTGGGAATGAATACGAATTAAACACAAGCCAGCTAACTGGCCTTAATTAGAAACGAGGCTACACCCTTACACCTGGACAGAGGTGAGACGACGCAGATAACCAGTAGATGTGGACAGGAGGGTACAGCTGAGGCACTTGCCCAGGGCCCGCTCTAGCTGGCCGGCGATGGAACCACCCGACTCCGCTTCCCACTCTTACTGCCTGGACTTTCCCTCAGTTACCACCTAAAGCGCACGCCCTTAGGCACACTCATTCGTGGTGGGACTTGTGAAGCAGTATGCAGTCCCAACTGCTCAGGGTTTGAAGCGGCGGCAGGCTCAAGGCAGCCATCCTGCCCCAACACGGATTCCCAGGACACGTTACAAACCAAGCTCTACGCCGGCTCGTCCTAGCGGTGCCCGCAAGGTTGCCACTAACAAGAGACTCCTCCGTGGGACATTAACCGTGTGGCTAACAGAATGCC